TTTTTAGTTATGTTTTTATTACTTTTTTTTATCTATTATTTGTCTCACAACTAATAAAAGATGATATTTTTAATGTTCATTGTGTATATATGGATAATAGATGTACTAACTATAGTGTAAGAATGAAAGTTCTCAATAGAACTTAATAGCCTTGTTTGATTATTCTATGATTTTTCGTGACTAATTATTTTTCAGATTAAGTATTTTTAGGTTCAAATTAATTTAGGTTGTCTTCTTTCTCGTTGTATAGATATATGAAGCTTTAAAGTGGCGTTTGAGTCTAGCGTCGTCTAGGTGATGCCATTTTTCGCCTTTTAAAATATTATTTTTTATTAAAATATTAATGACTCATTTAATAAAGTGATTACTCGTTGTTACCGCGGTTATAACCGTTACCCGTTGGGGCGGTTATGGTTTGGGTAAAAATTACCCGTTGGGTAATGGGGCGGTTATGGGACGGGGTAATTACCAAACGGGGCGGGTACGGTTATATGTAAAATCGTCCCCGATCCGCCCCGTTGTCATCCCTAAATGAAAGTGTCTAAAGCTTTTTCATTTTCTCTATGATCATATACCTAACAAAAACATCAAAGACTATTTTTTGAGAAACATTCCAAATTCTGCTTAAAACTCACTCTTCTTTTTTTAAACACCCCTATTGTTTATAATAAAGAATTTGATTGATGTTAAATCTTCAAAAACAAGTCACTTCTTAACCACAACACAAATATAATGGCCTACCTATAGGCTATAACAATGCAAATGAAACAAACATAATCGGAATTTCAAGGTGATTCGTATGACTCGACTCATCATATATATGAGTTTATGCGCCCAAGATTGATCACTCATCTTTATAGGGGGGGGATTTCACTATAAAATTGGATGCTTAACATGAAGCCGCATAAAGGAAGTCCAGGCCACGAGTCACATAACACTTCAAGTTATTTATGCTTTGCACAATGATGTAGGACAGTCTCATTTGGGGTTACTGATCTCAGAAAATAAGACTGCTAGTTTTTCTAGTGTTTCTTTGTCGTGATCGGTGAATCGTGTCGTTCATAAGCTAGTTCGCGTACAGTAGTTAAGTGGCCGATGTTTCTTTGCCTTCATTGTTGTGTTTGTTGGCGTTCTTTGCTCACTAATTAATTTTATTCTGATGCGTTTGAACCATAATTTCATTAATAATAGTTAAATCTATCTATTCAAAAATAAGAAGTGAGATAAATTAAGAGTAAATTACCTAAGTAGGAGTAAAATAATAGAAAAATGCAAAACTAGGACCTCAAAGTTTCGGTGGGAGCAAAAGACAACGGGTTGACATATTTACCCTTAATGATAAGCTGGATTCTTCATAAATAATTTAAAACAAAACAATTAAATAAAAAGAGAACAATACAGAAATAAATCAACGGCACAACCGAGGGCCGTCTTCCGCAACAGCTTTGGCTTCTCTGCTGCTGCTGCGCCGCCGGCCTGCTCTTCCGCCACCGCCGACCAGCTTTTTCGCCGCCGCCACCGCCGGCTGGCTCATCCTCCATCGAAGCCGCTGCCTTTTCCACCAATAATCAGATCATCTATCTCTCACCACCAACCGGGTCATCGATCTGCCGTCATCTCTGCTTCAGACACCACTTTGCCGCCGCCGCCCCCACTTCTGACGAGATTGTGGCAGATCTCCAGTGCAACCATGACATCCTCTAGCAAGTTATTTTGTTACCTATCTTTGGTGTAATTGCCATCCTGATAATAGTAATGACATATTATGACATTTAAAGATAAAAAATATGGCATTTGAGACCAAAATAATTACGAAATTTTATTGTATAATATTTGCTTTAATGCCATAAAATGGCATTATTTGTCAAGCTATAAAAATTTATAGTCTATAATGTCACATAAAATGGCATTATTTTCCAATCTTTATAAAAATATAAAAATGAATAATAATTCCATCTTTAGTATTTTATTTCCATTTTTAATGTTTTATTGCCATTTTTAGTGGACCAAATTAGTGCATTAGAAAATGGCACTATTTGACAAAAAAAGAACTTTCAAATTAAAAATAAACTATTACGGAGTAATGTTTTATTGCCATATTGTTAATCGACGAAATCATTCCATGAAAATGGTACTATTTGACAAAAAATACACTTTCACATTCTTAAAAATGACATTATAAGAACAATATATAAAGATGATATATAGAAAAATGAAAATATTGGTAATGCTACTTTAAAATTGAAAAGTCAACAGTAATAATTAAATAAATCCAAATTATTTAAAGTAATAAGTATTCAATACTACGTATAAAATATGAAACTAGACATTAATATCTTGAAATTTTACAGAATTGATCAAATCAATAAGAAATAAATTCAGGGAAAAAATGAAGAAATCGGAAAATGCAAAAAATGCAAACAGTAAAATCAAAACAGCACATGAGGGATGGATTCCACTCGTTGCTTCTCTCTTATCTCTCGCCGATCCTAAACTCCAGGAGGAGAGTCTCAATCGGCTAAAAAATTAAAAATTAGGGGAAGAAGATGAGAAGGAGAAGAATGGAGAAGAAGAGAAAATGAGAAGGAGAAGAAGGGAAAGAAAGAGAAATTACCTGAAAAATGAAATTACCTGGGACAACAAAGAAAAACCCCATTGCGTACGGCGAATAAGAACTCTGGATTCAAATCGGGCGAGATGCGGTGATAAGAAGGGGAAGGGGAGATGTGCAGATCTGGAAGGGGAGAGAGGGAGATGGGCGACGGAAGGGAGAAACGGACCTGTCGATTGATTTCTGGGGTTTATACATACAGGGGTATATGGATAATATAAACTCCTATTAGAGGAATAAAACATTACAACTCCTATTTAGGAATTTTCTCTATATTTTAGTCCTATCTAGGACAATTACTTATAAATTAATCGACAATTTTTGGGAATCTTTGTCTTTTCTTGACAAATTTACATCCGTCATTGTTTTACAAAAATTTAGTTTGAGAATGACTTCACCGAAAATGAAAAGGAACGTGTAAAAGTTTCCTTTGTCCTTTTCCTTTAGTACACCCGACTCCCGAGTTTAACACGCGTATGAGCCGTGAGACTGGTGAGCGCCATTAAAATTTTGATGTCCTATTATTTCGATATATACATTCAATTTATTTTGAATTAGTCAATAAAAAATGTTCTATTTTGAATACAAATATGTTTTAATAAACTACGAGAGTACGAGTCAATTGATAAAAAAAACTACGAGTCAATGATAAAACTAATCGGTGCGCTACATAAAATAATCTTTACATAAATTTATCAAAATATATACATAGGAAATTTGGTATGTCAATCCCATTAACCCATTATTACCCTTCATATGTATGTGTGTATGTGTACACACACCCAAATATTCTTGTCCGGATTTTCAGACAAGATCGTTGTCCGGTCACCTCAATTTGTGGTGGTTCTAAGAGAAATTTTTGATGAAATTTTGTGAGCCTTTAATTGCATTTTTAATATATATTTGGCACATCTTTTCTCAAAAAATTATTTAACGTACTCCATTATCAATTGATCTTTTTGCTGAAATTTGGTGGACATAGTCTCGACTTCATTGACAACATGTTCATAAAGTTTGATCAAAAAATTGCATCAAGAACCACTTCAAATTGAGGTGGTCAGACGGTGGCGCAACTTGTCCAAAAATTCCGATCAAGGATACTACTGTGAGATATCTGTGTGTGGGGGTGGGGGAAAGCGGTTTAGGCTCAGCAGGTCACTGACTCACTCTCTCTTATGGGAGGTCCCAAATTCAATTCTCAATGGAGTGAGATTGATCCCAATTTAATTTAATCCACGCTCCTGGCTCAAAAACCACTCCCCCAACGCATCGTGGGGTAAAAAAAAGTGTGTGTGAGTGTTTGTTTGCGTATGTATCTATGTACTAGCTCGGTGGCGCGCCTTGCGCGACGTGTGATGCCCAATCTAAGGAAAGAACGAGAAAGTTGCATTCTGTGGGAAAGATGTGCAAATGCATTACCAAAGCAAAGTGATAAAAAGAAATTCATTGGTGTCTATTACAGCAGGGTAATCAATTAATATTTCAGTTTGAATGTTTGGGTCAGAAAGTTCAAACAAATATCACAACAAAAGAGTGAAGGTAGAACAACGTGGTGCGAGATCAATTAATGGACCTCGCCGATGAGGTTGTGACCTGCGCGGGTGTGGTGCTTCACAAATTGCATGTGGCCAAGATACCAAACATATGAAATAATAACCAGTGTAGACAAAGGAAGTGAACGGGCAAGATCCCAAAAAAATTTCTACACGAAAACTAAAATAATCAGGAAATATACTTTAACTATTTTGAGAAAATTAATGTTCCTACCATGTGCACTCAATAAATCAGTCCTATATTTCATCCAAAAAAAAATAAAAAAAATAAATCAGCCCTATAAAGATATAATTTTTTTCATATCACATTGAATCAATATAAAACAGGTCACATAAAATATCGCGTAACTAAATAAGCACAAAATGAATCTTAAAATAGATTAATATATCAATGAAAATATCAACTCGTAATAAAACCCAAAAGACACAAATACAGATCGAAAATAGTTACCGGTACATGAACTATCTTCATTTGGGTTAATTTTATTTGAAGATTCGACGTCTACTCATCATCTCCCTTAGCGGCATAAAACATGCACAAAGCTTAACCGAAAAACTAACCAAGCATTCCAGTCCAGCTGGTTGTGAGGTTACCGTGCCTAGTGGGAGGTCTCGAGTTCGAATCCTGTTAGGCACACAAGGGTGTGAAACTCAATGGAGTGGATTTCAGCCCTGATTACTCCAGGCTCCCTCAGCCCCCTCCCCCAGACCCCCCTGGAGTAAATTAAAAAAAAAAAAAAACTTAACCGAAAAACTAACCTGAACGTTCCCCATTTGGGAAAAACTAACCGAAAAATAGATTAGTTAGTTCTGCCAATAATATATCACTTCTACGTGGGAATTTTATATTCATCATAGAAGATAATCAACAATAACAATCACAGGCTCATAACATGTGCCCCCTGGCTGCCCAGGAGGAGAAAATTGTGATACTTTCGTTCTTTAAGAACACAACTTACTGAAAGTCTGCATTGTTTCGCAGAGATGCACTGAGGTCAATACGAAACAAAATTTTCTATTAATCCAACAAACTTGTAATTTACGTACACATAGCTTCTAGTTGCTGTGGAGCAACACAAAGGAAAAGCTATATCATTCTCCAATGTATATGAAGTAACGATAGCAGCCTGTAAAGTGAAAACATATAAAAGATTGGAACTCGTAGCTTCAGGCTTGTGTTAAACCATTAAAGTGATATTAAATATTCTGACACGACCATCATATAAGTTGACATAAGATCCTAAAGTAATATAATAGTCATTATGTTCCAATGTAATGTCTTCTTATCTCTATTATTTTGATTAAAAGTTTAATTACATTACTTAAAAACTCTGCTTTGAAAGCTAAGTTGCATAATCCCCACATAAACAATGACTAACCAGAAAGTTGCCAATCTCCATCAGGCATCCTGAAAGCACGTACCGAGCTAGGCCGGTACTGACAGACAAGAGAAGCTTTATTTATACATAAACAAAAAATAAGGAATAATTTTGCAAAGGGAGCCAATCATAAAGTCAAAACCCTTCAATGGAATATGATTCTTCTTTGGTAAAAAAAAAGTTTAAAGCATGACCTTTTACAGGAAGGAGGAAATACACAGAGAATACATATTGTTGACAAGTCACATTAAAAATATAGCTAATACACCTTGATATTAAGTGGCAGAACAGGATCATAAAGCGGGAGTCTCAAAATGAACCACTCACCATAGCTAACAATTCTACCCTGTTGACATTCCAAATTCAGTATGATGTAATATGATGCCTCATAAGGTGCTTGTAACAAGAAGTGTATCTAACGTAAAACTTTGTTACTCCTTTTCTTTGGATGGATAAAGTGTAAACTAATCTTAGATAATTACTTTCACAATAAACTTTATGGGAAACACATAGTTTAGAGCTGGCGGCATTGACTATTGAGTCAAATTAAGAAACAAATTAACCCCTTCATAGTTAACATGAGCCTTTTCAAGCAGGTTTGAGTCAGCAGAGTCTTTAGTAGCCTGTAAGTGTTTCAGAGCTACCTCTCTGTAATCCCGGAAGGATCTGAAAGTGAGAAACCAACGTTGTTACTCAAGTAGAAGATGTGTGTGATACATTTAGAAAAAGGTATTTAAGTTCCATATACATATACCTTTCTCTAAGATCTGGATAGTTCCATAAGGAAACTTTCTACACGAAAAAGATGTCCTATTATTTCAAAATGAAGATACATACCATAGACTATGTTTTCATGAGTCTGTTATTTAGAAATTGCGTATTCATAAGAATGATTATTGTGTCGGTGCTATGCAGAATTCCCTCTTTTAGGTAAATTACTCAAAAATCAGAACATAAAGTTTGACTTTCTTAGGATCAGGCCGTAATCTTGATTTATTAAAGGGTAATAGAACTGAAAATATACTAAGAGAACATATATACACGACTGGATAAGTGGATAGGTTCCATAACATACAATTTGTTGAAGAAGAGTCAGGTAGTTTTTCAAGAAGAAGTTTCTATGGCATCCTGTGATTTCATAGTACATTAAAAATGATAACTAATCTAGGGGAACATGACAGAACAAAAAGAAAACTAACAGCCAAGGAAAATTTGAAGTATATAAAAAACGGCATGAAAACCTGAAGTGAAGTTCTTTTGAGCAGCATCAATCTAAACACTCCTTACATTTTAAACAGATTAAACAGAGATTGACATGATGAATGAACAAAAAAGAAAATGACAAAATAAAAGCATAACACACTGCCTAAAACAGGAGAAATGGGATATTACTCTAAGAAAAACATGTTTACCTATCTCACTCTAAGAAAAGAAAATAGTTTTTGGATATAGATCCTAGAACATATTTTTTAAACATGTTCTAGACTGACATAGGTACATTTATTATATGGTCGTTTGCAAAACACCATACTCCCAGGTAATATCAGGGCTTGATGTCAAGGAGCTCATGCATCTGGATGATCAATTTCCAGAAAGGCTAGAAAAATTAATGATATAACTTGGTTAAATATCACTCCAAATCAACATAGAAAATCCGATCCAGACAAACTTTGAAAGGCAACCAAACCGTAATAATAACTGATATTGAGCTAACAGTGATAAATATCTTACCTCACATGACATAAAGCTTCAGATAATAGATCTGAACCTCAATGAAGCAATATCCCAGGTTTTAAAGCAATAAGGGCCATCCAAAACAATAAACACTGAGAAGCTTGCCAACTACCAGGTATCTAAATATAGTTGCTAAGCAGTAACCATATTGCAATGCACACTGTACGAACAAAAGTAATGCAATGGACCACATGCTGAAAACTTTTCAATAAAATATTGAAAGAAAAAATGTAATTGTCGTCTCAAATATTTTAATGCAAAATTATTCCTCAGTATAACAGGGTGAAAGTAAAGAAAAAGGCACTAATGAAAGATGAAAAGAACAAGAAAAGTTATCCTACTCAAGTCTTTTATTATTATTATTATTATTATTATTATTATTATTACTATTATTATTTTATAATAATAATAAAAAAATATGCAGTTGTAATTTTACTTTTGCCAACGTTAGCGCAACAAAGTGAAGAATTCACTTTCATTTCCTGATGGTAAAAAACATACAACTATATTTCAAACTCTGCTTCACCAAGAAATATAATTTAGCATACAAGATAAAATCAAGTAGAACTGTTAACAACTTAGGAAATGGTGTACATAAATCAAGCTCATTGCCATCTTATCTTGTTAATACGACCTTGTGCCTACAATAGTCAAACAAATGGAACATAGCAGTTGACTTGCTATTGGTTCGGTACTTAAGACTATCCAACACAATTAGCTGCATTATATTGATTTTTGTAGTCAGAGTTTCAGACATTTATGAAAACAATGTCATCATTTTGTACATTGCAACTAATCGTAGACTGAATTATTAAATTCTTCTTACATGCTGGAAAAAAGAGATGCATGTAGTCTACACAAGAGTAGAAAAGGATCAAAACGAAAAGTGTCTAATCCATACTAACCTACTTGATTTCTTCCAGGAGTTTTAGCAGCTCATATGCATTAGAAAAACTGGTGAACCATTGGCTTTAGAGATTATACTTGGCATAACAACGCTCTCCCGTTCATATCTTCCACGGGTGCTACACATAAACACAGAGAATATATTATCTCAACAAGTTGAAAATCCACCCGCATTAATTAGTAAGCAATAAAGGGAAAACTATGGGACAGAGGAGTAAGCTAAAAAGACAACTTCTTCAGAGTTCACACTACGAATGAAAAAGAGTAATGTCAGCCAGGTGGCCCAGATTTAGGCTAGAAGTCTAGGATGTTTACCTATGTCACTCTAAAGAAAATAGTTTTTGGTCATACATTCTAGAACATATTTAAACATGTTTCTTAAATATGAAGAGTTAAGAGGTCAAAAGCACACTGAGCTCAACCTAGAAGTCTCAAACACATATAAATAGCTGCCAAGTTAGAAATTAGACTTCAGCATAAAAATGAACTATCTCTCTCCTGCTAAAAGCTTCTTCTTTTCGCTTGGAAACCTGGATCTCTATTTGTTCCCATAGGAGCGAAGGATCAATTGTCCCTAAAAATGACGATGGATATAAATGAGATATCAGCAGGCAGAAACTTAAAAAAAGAATCTATCTTGAAAAGGTATGAAAGCTTTTATCCACTAAGTTTAAATTCTTAACCCAAACGGTTGCAAAAAATGAAATTGACATTCATTTTTTTGTAGGGGAGCAGTAGACAGCGTCGACCGTCTGGGAGCTGCAGTAACAGAATAGGACCAAGCTAACTCCCTTCCACCATTTAAATAATTGTGAGATAATAAATAATATTGAATAGGGTATGCTAAACGTTAACAAAAGGGACAGTAAATGAAGTGTGTTTAGCAAAAGACAAACCATCTTCCCTATCAAAGTGTTTCAGTCTATGAAGTATGATTAGGATCCATTTCTCAAGTCTTGGCTCATATCCTTCGAGGACTGTAGCAGATGAGAAAACACACAATTAGTAAATCTAATTTAAAAAATAAATAACAGAAGGATAAAGTAAAGAAGTTCAAAGTTATGTTAGGTATCCTAAACTTCATTTGTGAACAAAATTCCTTTCGACCAGAATGGAATTAATTTCAGAATGCCAAAAAAGATGAAACAAACTAACATTAAAACTCGTATGGCCAAAGCAGCAGCAAAAAGAAACATAGCAGTAGATTAATCAGATAATCCGGTAAAAAACAACAGCAGGAAATTGGTTCTCAGTGAGAACAGGGGGGTCCTCAGACTGAATATCATCATAGGACAGGGGATGATCAAGTGTAGTATAAGTCATGTCAGTTTCAATAGACAGATCAGAAAGAGGTTCTTCATTTCCAATTATTGACTCAATTGTATCAACTTCAGGACCACAGCCTGCAGATAATGCATTTCCAAAGGCATTCACTGAGGCTTCATCATAGGCTACAATTGCATCATTTTTCAAGGTATCAACTTCGCCGGAAACACAATCAATAAGTCCATTTCTATCAGTTTTATCAGAAATGCAATCTGCAGGAACTGGTACAACAGAAACATAATCAGTTGGAGCATGAAGAATGGGCCTTCAAAGTCAAAGGCAATGACATTTTAAGTCTCCGAAATGGTATGGGAGACTTAATAAATACTTACCCTTGTAGACAAAGGAAGCAAAGAAGCAGCCATAATCTCAAAGTTCCCACACACAAAAAACTCAGAGCATCGGGAAAATATTTTAACTATTTCGGAAAAATTAAGATATACACTGTGTGAACAAACTAAAGTGGTCTTATAAAGACACCTATAGAATTTTGCACTTCTATTTTCAGGAAAAGCCTTCCATTTTCGTCAAATGAAGGGAAAAGATACGGGAGAAGCTGTAGCACTTGAAAAACTAAAATTTGCAGTATGGGAGTCCTCAGAACTGATATCATCACTGGACAAACAAGGGGCAATTAACCTTATAGGCACTTGAATAGGCACTTCAATGCTTTTAAAATCGATGATAGTTTTACCTTTTATATCATCACGGCTACAACTTCATATAGCATGTAAATAGGCACTTCAATGCTTTAGCGACATGTACATGTCCTTCAATACGAAATCTAGCAGAATGAGTCAATGCTACTACACATAGATATTTTAACTATAACTAAATTACAATTTCGTTTTTATCAATTACAACAAGTGTTATCCACAATAGTCACAGAGAAAGTGTTCATAATTTTTTTTTTTAATTATAACTAAATTTTATATTTAAAAAAATGAAGTCGCTTCCATAAATGAACAACAATGGAGGCTCAGACATAGCTCATTAACAGCTAAAGAGAAACATCTAACACCGCCATGGCTGCAAACACACAGAACACATGAGATACTCAGGTCTGGTCAGTGTGTTGCCACGCCACGATACGAGTCGTGTATCCCTAATGCCCATCAACTGGCTCAAGAAAATGAATTATCATCACAGCCCCTCTATAAACAACATTGTCACAGCCAGCATTGACACTATTAACCTTAGGGACCTTAGGTTAACCTTATGGGCCTCATATTCTTTTTAAGCCTCAGAAGCATCGTCGGCAGCAAGGGAAATATCAGATGTAGCTGTTGTAATCTAAGGGACAAATTCATCATAGATAGCAATCCTGTTATCACGGGCAACATTTTCACAATCAGTAATAGGGACAGGGGCATTTTCACAATCAATAGTAGGGCCATCTTTTACAGAATAGTTCACAATCAGAACATTTTCATTATCAGTAACTGGGACAGAAGCATCACAAATAACAAGAGCATTACAAGCAACATTAGCATTGCATAAATTATCATAGTCAGTCTCAGGTGGAGTCCCCTTAAATTATCATAGTCCGCGAAAATTATTTTGTTGCACACCTAACCCCATTTGGTGTTAAACATCTATTCACAAGTTTGTATATTTTTTTATAGAACAAATAATAAGCATTTGAAAGAGCAGACACTATTGTTAATTCAATTTATTCACATGAAATTAACCCTAACAGACATGAAATGTAATCCCAACCTATTGAACCTGCGCCAAGCTTAATTAACAGGCTACCCTCAGCTCAGGCTCTAATATGTTTACTTTCCTCGCGGCTATGAAGTCAAAATTAACCAAAGAGGTTTGTCATAATATATAGCAGCTATGAAACAGAAAGGAAAAAAAGAAAAACAATTAAGAGATCAAGTGATGAATTATTAAAAAAACAAACTAAAGAGAATAATCTTTTGAAAAATATGCAGACAGGTCGACCAACAAAACCTCAGAATGGACACTGGAGGAGAATAGTAGACTACCGAGCCCCGAGCCCCGCCAATCTTGAACACCTGTAGCTGAGACTCATTTCTCATCTTCTTCTCTTGCACCAATGAGGGCAATCTAAGAATATGTTGATTAGCTGAATGACAACACTATATCTATTAGCCTTTCGATCTATTTCCTTTTCGAACTCAAACTCACTATAATCTTTTATTCAGACTACATCACAATCACAACAGAATGAACCCTTAAAATACCTACTTTTACCCATCTCTAACATTTTGGAATGGATATCTAGGAGCCCGGATGTGAAATCATCAACTTTATTTGTTCTGCAAAACAGGGAAAAAACATTCAGCATTAGCACAATGTAAAGAGATATATCGAATTGTATATCATGGTAGATGCAACTATACAAATCATCAGAAGCAGAAAAGGAACAGACAAGAAGACGGGGAAAAAGTAAGATAAAACAGATACGATAAAGATAAGTAAATATAAGATAACAATAGCATAAATGTTTGAACTGCTTGTGGAGAAAACGTTCACCTCAGTCTCAAGTGGGCTTCTCCAATCAACTCCTAAAAAGGAGAAGAAAATGATGAAATAGAAAAGAGACAAAGAAAACTTGAACTATCGATAGAGATTAAAAAAATCAAGCCATATAACGAAAGCTCTCTCCCACTTATAATATCTCTATTTACCTCTAGTCCTTCAAGTGGACATGCAACTAAAATGATCATTTCCACGAAAAGAGGAGATGAGAAACCATTTCGGTCATCAATACAATATACTTCTTAGTAATACAAACCAGAAATAATCAAACGAGAGAAACATAACTTACAAAAAAAACATGGTGAGAAGTGCCATGTCCCCCTCCTCCTCCACCACTGCCCCAATTGTGATATCCATAATGACGATCTCTTGAAGATGAAAGGTTTATTCAACCTATGTCATTTGAATAAACAAAAAAACAGTCAATGAAAAAACAGCAAACAGACCAATTGATTCCAAACCAGTGCAAGTAATCTATTGCCAGAGCAGAAGGAATGGGCATCTAAGATACAAGGAACATTGGCAGTTTCATCTAGGTTGGTTAGAGCAGAGGTGCCTCTAAGTATGCATGGGAGAGGTACCAGGCTGGGTTCAAATATTGTGAACCCCAAAGATGACAACAATACGAATAGTAATAATACGTATAAGAAACAAGGTGGGTATGATGATATTCTTTAATTTAGAATCTTGGATAGGATGAATTTTTAGTAGGTAAAACCATTATTATGGTTCTTATGATTATCATTAGCAATGTTGTTTTGAAGTTAAGACTACTATCTTTGTAAAATCCTCCTATAAGTTACCAGTTTATGGTGTTTAGAAAAAAGAACAATTAATCTACACCACAGACACAAAGATGAAACATTCAATTGAACCCAAAAACATATATAGTCATGGAACAATCAGAAGAAAGAATGAATTTAAAAACTAATCTTATATAGAAACAAATGTGTTTCATATCACATAATAAATCCAAATAAAATCCAAATGAATCTCTGTTTAGGCTTATCCCGCAAAAAATCAGAAATCTGTGTAGCTTGAAGTGGTATACGTATACCAATTAGGTATACATATATCGACTCAAACCTCAAACTAAACCAAAACAACTAATTGAAATGAAACCTTAAAGTCTAGCCAATCCATGAAGGCAAGAAGAATGGATGAGTTTGCTCTGATTCAGCATTTGTACGATGACTTCGCTCTGCCCATCATTACAGAAGCAAAATTGACAGAAATCCATAGAAATTGGAATATGGAGGAGTAAATAATCCCAAATAGTTGGAAATAAGAGAAAGATAGCCCGGCTGCTCCAATGGATGTAGACGGTTAGGTCGATGGATCCCATTTCAGTTTGAAAAAAACAAAACCATCATATTTATTAGCTGACAGTATCAGGGTGAGAGGCGGTGTTATCGTATTACCGGAGAAGGTTGAATCTTGTGGACGCTGGGCACAGGAGAAGGTTGAATCTCGTGGACGCAAAGCTTTTCCCAAATTAGCCGAAACGACACAAAGCGTTCTTGAAAAGAGACTGAAGTTCCCGGTGAGGCCATCTATTGGAGCTGCTTGATACTCCATTGAAGCTGAGAGGCTTGGCGGAAGAAGACTCATGTCAACCCTAGCTCTGCCATCTGCGAATTTCTGGGGAGCGAAATGACTAACGAATCGGGAACGACATCTGGCCTGTTTTATGTGGATGAGCGATAAAAAAGAGGAAAGAAAACGGAAGTGTTAAACGTTGAACTGTAGCAACGGAAAAATGCCCAAGTTAACTTCCTTTCGCGATTTATATATAAGTAGATACATAAGTAAAAATTGGCAATTAAGTACGGTGTAACTAATAACTCATGTTAACACTTCGGAAAAATAATCACTAGCAACGAGGAATCTTTGTTTTGGTGCTTGCTTGTGTATATTGATCTATTTCTCGAAAGTGTAAATTTAAATTCAACGTGATTTAATATCTTGAAATACAACATCATATTTGTAAAACTATAGTAATATAGTTCAAAATAATACTCCCTCCGTCCCTAAATTGAAATCACACTTTAATTTGCTTTTCTAGATGTCCTTAAATAAAGTCACACTTCCTTATTTGATAAATAAATTTATAAAGTAATTGACTTAAGTAGGACCAAATTATAATATTTATGCAAGAATAGGACCATACGTTCTTTTAATTCCCAAATAGGACCTTTTTCAAGCCTATTCCCATTCTACCCTCTCTTGTTACGCACTAATCTAATTCATTCTTTAATTTCATTTTTCTCTCTCTCCTTTATCCTTTCTTCTCCCCAATGTTTCTTTTCTAGATCTTCACGCAACAGATCTACCCTCAAGCATCCTTCAAGCATGAATCTGCTCCAGACCAACTCATCTCCTTGCTCCTCACATATCCCAAATTTCCAATACATATCAATTCCTCCTTCGCCGATCGATTTTAGAAGTATATATTAACTGTGGTGGTTTTTTCTGGAGTTCCAGCAGGCGGCAGAGACGGGCGGCGGCAAACTCGTAGGTAAGCTTCTAACATTCCTCCTCATCCTCATCCTCATCCTCATCTTCTTCTACTAATTCTTCTTCTACTCCTTCTTCTTCTTCTTCTTCTTCCTCTTTCTTTTCTTCACTTTCTCCCCCTTCTTTTCCTTTGCTCCGAGGCAGAGCCTCCGTTTCAATTCTTAGATTGATATTTGGTTTATGTACTTTCTTTTGCCTTTTTAAATTATAATTTAATCTGGCAAGATTTTTTTTGCTTTCTTTTTTTTTTTTTCTTTCAATATCTTCTTTAAACCTTTGTTTTTTTGACTTTTTATTTTATCTTTTTTAATACTCTTCAAATTAATTTTATGATTTAAATTAAATGGCAATAACTTTTAGTTTTTTATGCCAATAAAATAATGTAATACTTCAGTGCCATTATTGCTATTCGGCAAAGCCAGTGCCATAATAATGACATTTATAGTCGAAATTTAATTTTCAAATTGATGAAGTGTCAGTATACTTGGAGTGAATAATATTGCCATTTTAGTGTATTTAATGCCATAAAAATGGCACTAAGTAATATTTTAAACATGGCATTAATGTGGAAAAACATGACACTACTAGTACTTTATTTGCAAAGATTCAATATTGCCATCTTGAAGTTGTTAATTAATGGCATAAATGCTATTGTTAGTCAAAATGACATTTTCAAACCAAAAATGACATTTATATACTTTATTTACATATAAATAATATTGTCATCTATTTAATGCCATAAAAATGAAATTATTTTCAAATCAAAGAGAAAAAATGATTATTAATCATGAAAAATTGAGATTTAATGCAAAATCATGCATTTTCTTTAGATCTGGGATCTGCAGCAACAGTGCCCATGGCGGTGGCGGTACCGGGGTAGAATAGGGTGGCACCAGTGCAGGAAGAGGCTAGGGTGGCGTCGGAGGAACCTGTAGTGGTGGTAGATGCGAAGATGTTAGTGGTGGCGGAGATGGTGGCGGCTGAGATGGCGGCGACGGCGGAGGTGGTGGCAACTAGAGTGTTGGCGGCAGCGGCGCATATGAGGTGGCGGTGGTGGATAAAGGCATAAAGTGATAGTAACCTTGAGTAACCTTGGACTATTGGAACACGCCGTATTATTGAAGTTCATATGCAGAGCGTGTTTGTTATTTTATTTTATACTCCATATTAATAATTAAGTAATAAGGATTTCATTAAGGGTATATTTGTCTACTCATCTCTTTTAAGTCCTACTGAAGTAACCGAACATAGGAAGTTCCATTATTGCACTTTTAACAACTTTTAGTCCTAGTTAGGGAATTATCTCTAAATTTATATATTAAAAAAGTACAAAACATTGCAAAATAATATCAAATAATATCAAAAGTGTACTCTACAGTAAATTTATTTTCTTAATATGTGTGAACTGTGAAGTCAAACTGTAACTTTTAATTAAGGAACCAGGGAGTATCTTATTATTAAAAGACATGTCTAGTCCTTAATGTATGTCGCGGCCATCTAGGGTTTCGTTGTCCCTAGCAGTTTTTCCGGCGGCCTAGGTCTGAGCCGATAGTTTTCGGCGGTTTTTCTCGGAAAGGAAGGTTCCAATCTTTCTGCTTAGGCTTCGTCTGGGAAATTCTTAAAGGATTTTTGCTTAGCGGGGCGTGGAGTCGGGCAGAAGTTGGGAGGTTCAATGAGCATCTTGAGTTGGAATTGTAGAGGACTTGACAACCCGGCCACTAGACGATGTTTTGCTGATCTTGTGACAGAGCACAGACCTTCGATCGTCTACCTTATGGAGACGAAGGTCCGTTGTCAGCGAGCGAAGGGAATCCTGCGAATCCAAGGCTTTTCACGAAGCATGCGGGTCGGACAGTTCGGGTCTAAGCGGAGGTTTGATTATGGGCGGGAAGGATGATGTTGAGATCATGAGATGACACTGATGCAGAACGAGAGTAACTTTATTGACTGTCACATCGTGTTGAAACCGGATGGTACTCCGTGGCGCTTAACAAGGTACTATGGTTTTCCTGACACCAGGAGGAAAAGGGAGTCTTGGGCTCTTATGGAGGAACTGGCCGAAGCACGGGGAGGTCCGTGGATGATTGTTGGTGATTTTAACGATAATCTATATGATTCGGAGAAAAAAAATGTGTATTCCTCACGCGCCGTGGAGAGTTCGCGGTTTTTGGGAGGCGGTTCACAACTGCTGTTTGTGTGACTTTCCTTTTGCTGGGTATCAATGGACTTGAGGTAGAGGAAAAGGCACAAACTATTGGGTGGAGGAAAAACTCGATCGCTTCCTTGTAAATGATGAGTGGTGGGATTTATTTGCGGCATCTCAAGCTAAATCGGTTGAGGCCCTAATTAGTGATCATATGGCCTTGTATATGGAGATGAAGAGGGCGGATGAGCCTAGAAGAACTCGACATTTCAAATTTGAGAACAATTGGGTGAAGGAAGAGAACTGTCGTTCGATTGTGGCCATGAGTTGGGGGGCGGCAGCTAACATGAATAGTAATGAGCGTATTTCTTTTTGTGGTACTGAGCTGATGGTTGGTTTACGCAGAAGTGATGGAGTGTTGATCACGGACAGGGGGGACTTCAGCTCAGCAGTTTTGAGCTATTCCTCAGATATTTTTCGGAGCTTGGAAATAAATCAAGGGCAGAATATTCGAGGGGATTTTTGTCAGGTTACCGTCAATCAAAACATTGCTCTTCTAAAGCCTATTTGTCCGGAGGAGGTCAAAGTGGCTATTTTTTATATGCACCCGGAGAAGGCGCCAGTTTCAGACGGTATGAATCCTACCTTCTTTCAAACCTATTGGGACGTGGTGGGTCCGGATATTTCGGCTCTTTGTAGCAGCATGTTCGAATCAGGTAAGTTAGCGGAGCATATAAATACTACTAATATTGTGCTAATTTCTAAGAAGGATAAACCCGAGTGTATGGGTGATTGGAGGCCTATTGCTTTATGTAATGTGGTATATAAATTTTTTTCGAAGACTTTAGCTGATAGACTGAAAGGTATATTGCATGGTTTAGTTGGCGAGAGTCAAAGTGCTTTTATACCGGGAAGGTTCATTACGGATAATATTATTGTAGCCTTTGAAACTCAGCATTTTCTTAAGAGGAAAACTGAAGGGAAGGAGGGGCATATTATTTTAAAGCTTGATATGAGTAAAGCATATGACAGGGTGGACTGGACTTTTTTTAGAAGGAATTTTACATAAAATGGGTTTTGCTGAGAAATGGATTCAGGTGATTATGGAATGTGCCAGATCTGTTAACTATTTTATTCAGTTCGATGGGGAGTTTTTGGGGCCAATTTATCCGGAGAGAGGATTACGTCAAGGGGGATCCTCTGTCCCCGTATTTATTCATTTTAGTTGCTGAAGGGCTCAGTTCATTGCTGAGAAAGGCAGAACAAGATGGATTAATTCATGGGGTAGCGGTGTGTCGTGGGGCACCTCGAGTATCTCATTTATTTTTTGCTGATGATAGCTTCATGTTTTTTAAGGCGGCGGCAAGTGAATGCAATGTTATACGACTTATTTTGAAGGAATATGAGGAAGGATCGGGTCAGACTATTAATTTCTCTAAATCATCCATTAATTTCAGCCAGAACGTCCCAGATCAGTTTAAAATCCAGTGCTGTAATTTTTTTGGGGTTCCAGAGGGCGGAGGTCAGCAGAATTACTTGGGGCTGCCTAGTCTTGTTGGTCGCGGTAAGAAAGATATTTTGGGATTTATTCGGGAGAGAATTTTTAACCGAATTAGAACTGGAATAATCGCTTCCTGTCCAGGGCAGGTAGGGCGGTTCTACTCCTAAATGTGGTGCAAGCTATGCCCACATATGCTATGAATGGTTTCCTTTTACCGAGGGCCTTATGTGATGAAGTTGAAAAACTTATGAATGACTTATGGTTGAAAGGTTCTAAATTTGAAGATTGGGGAATCCGATGGAGAAGATGGGAGGTCTTGTGTAAACCAAAGTGCCGAGGGGGGTTTGGGTTTAAGAAGCTCCATGAATTTAATATTTCTATGCTTGCAAAACAAGGATGGAGACTTTTGCAGAATCCAGAAAGTCTGATGGGATGTTTTCTTAAGGCAAGGTATTTTCCTAATTCTGATTTTCTTAAAGCAAAGTTGGGTATCAATCCTTC